GATGAAAATAACTTCATTGCATATTATGAAATTCATGTTCATTATAACAATAATTTAAAAAAAAAAAGTGGGAGGAGACAACACAGGAAGCCATCTATTTTTAAGTAAAAAATTGTTGAGAAATACCATTAAGCCCTTGGTATAAATCACTCCGCCCTCGCCTCTTTTGTGCACTTTATATAAACATATTTGAAGCATGACATAAATCAGCCCCCATTACAATTCAGTTTTGTATATACTAGATTCACAATGTCCTGGGTTTTGGTGCCTTATTCATGCATCCCCCAATTATTTATTGAGCACTTGAAAAGTGCCAGGGAGAGGGCCAGGAACTAAACACAAATGTGACTCCAGTCAAGATAATGGGTGAGACTTCAAAATTTGTACCACCACCTCCATAATAACCAAAATAAACTTTTAAAGATACAGATTAATAACTCTGTGGACCACACAAAAGCTTGAAGTTCAAAAGCAGTCAGCAGCAGCAACCAGGAAATGGATCTTCAATGTAACACTGCCCCCCCCCCAACACACACACACACACACACACACACACAGGGGCAAGGACAAAAGCCAGGCACGGAGCGGGGGCTGGGATTCCTGGCCACAAGAGCAGGCTGACCAGCCGTTCCAGCCCCGGCTCCAGCTCACACATGAGCTCCTCTACTGTTGAAAACAGCCACAGAACCTGGGCCAAATCCCCTGCAGGCTCAGGCCTGGATTTGATGAAACCTGGTGTCACTGTGCGATGGAAATCTGGGCCTCAGATATGTGTCTGCATTGGGGGACTCAGGAGAGAAACGAGGTGACTGTACCACCTGGATAGGAAGGAAGTCTGATCGAAGACACAAAACCACCAAACACAATGACTACCAGGGGAGCTGACTCAGGAAGAAAGGAAAATAATAGAGCAATACCAGCATGACTTACTGTATAAGTTGTCTTGAAGCATAACTGACATGCCATAAACTGCACATACTTGAGTGTACCACCATCAAGATCACATACATATCCATGACCTTCAAAAGTCTCTTTGACTGACACCTCACTGTTGATTACAGCAGAGTCACAGGAGCTTGCTCTCCTATTTCTAGTCTCTTAAGGTAGAAACTGAGATCACGGAGACCTTTCCTCTTTCCGAGCACAGGAGTGACTGAGGCTAAAAATGTCCCTCTCCAAAGGACTGTTCCACAGCATCCAACCAATTCCGACAGGTAGTGTTTGCATTTTTATTCAGTTCAGGAATGCTTTCTAATTTAATTATTTTTATTTGATCCATGATTATTTAGTGCTGCGTTACTTTGTTCCAAATATTTTGGGATTTTCCAAATATCTTTTATTGATTTAAAGTTTAATTCCATGATGGTGGGAGAACATAAATATATATACACTTTCTAAAACATGAACCATGATTTTTTTAAAAAGAAAATGTTTTTTAAAGCCTCACAAATTTGTAAGTAACCTATTCAATTGAGGGAGCAAGAGACTATGGCATAATTTCTTGCAGGAACTGTTATAAAACGCATCTAGAATATAGAGCCTGGCTTCCCATTTTCTCCTCTTAAGAAATAAAATATTTAGGTCAAACAATTGCCTTGTTCTCTCTTTTGGTCAGGAGACACGGTCAACTTGTTAAATCCTTCATTCACCATGTCTTATACCAGAGTTCCCAACTGAGGGTTCAAAGATCCCCTGAAATAGTGAGTTGTGTGCATAATTTGCATAGAAGTGATTCCAGGCACTTTTCTGGGAAGAGAGTTTGGAATTTTCCAACTCTTCAAGAAGTTCACGCTCAGAACGGACTAAGAATCACTGTGTCATACCTACATTTCACTGTGGTCCTTCTGGTGTATAATATAAATTCAGGTCATAAATTATGGGTTGACAGGTTTCATCTCCTAAGGATAAGTATGTTTACTTTCGTTTCTGGAAAGAATCTCAAAAGCTAACAAGTTCATTCACCTGCCTTCAGGCAAAATGCTTCCAAAATTATCTGAGTCAGATGAAAACGAAAGGCCTGTTTATTTTCCCCTCTGGGAATGAAATTCCAGCTACGCCCTGGGTAACCTGTTACATTTTTTAACAACCGCTGGAAAATGCATCTTTGGCCTGTGTGCTCTAGGTTGGGTCCTTAATAGCCATAGCGCTTTCCCCCCACCACTTTATACGCAGCTGTAAACGTGTTAATCTTTTCCAGAGGAGACGTATAGAAAAGGTCGTGTTGCAGCCATTCTCAAACCTCAGGACTCCAGGGATATATGTCCAGGTCCATGCCCAGCTCACACATGTCAGGCAGACATCGGCCAACACATGAGAGCCCAATATGGTCCAGTTACTAATAATATGAGCACAGTGCCAGGAAGCTGGAAACCCTCGGATAATACACTGCAGAAAGGGGCTCTGCCCTGTGGGTCAGAAGTGTGGGTATGATGGCATATGGTGGGGATGTTACCAAACCTTCACTGTTCTGGCCAGTGGTCAGCCTAGTCACCCTCCCCAATGGGTACAGTGCACGCTGGGCTTCCCACACGCGCCCCCCTTGCCTGGCTTTTGCACAGGGTCTGTGGTCCTCTGTGTGCAAATACTGGGCACCCCAGCCCCCCCCACTAGCAGCGGCACCTGCTTCCTTCTGAGAACCTGCCCCCTGGCTGGGATTCAGCTGCAGCCTGAAGGGTAACTTCCTGCTTTTCCAGGGGTGTGGCCCGCTCTGGCCTGAGCACCCACCCCAGCAAATGCCTCCCCAGCCTGGGGCTGCCAGCAGGCCTTCTGCAGTGAGGTCTGGCCTGCACCTTGGGGAGGGGCCTCTGTCCAGTTTGTCCTTCAGTGAGTACTCTCCCTGAGCTGACGGTTTCCTGGAGAGTGCCTTTAACATCGCACAGTCACTCTCCTGGCACAGCTTCCTCATTCTCTGTATCAAAAGTCTCCTGTTTACAACGCTGTGTGGTCTCTGCCTCCTGATGGGACCCAGGCTGACCATCACAACGTGTTAGTCTTGGACCTAGTCACAGGGAGTATCTGCTAACAGTGCATCTTTCATTGTTTGTAACTTTCCTTCCAGCTTAATTGTATTACAGTTAGAGAATTCCTATGCGTTGGAATTTATTGACATTCTTTTAACATAACCAACGCATGGCTAACTTTTTAAAAATGTTGCCAGAGAACAGAACAGAAGGTGCAGTCTCATTTTCAGGGTACAGAGGTGGATAAAGTTCTAATAGATCAAGTTTTATATTTCTATTAGAGGTAGATAACGTTTCTAGTAGATCTATCTTATTCAAGCTTTTGTATCTTCTATAGAGGAGTCAGCCAATGTTTTATATAAAAAGCCAGACAGTAAATAACTAGGCTTGTGGGCTTTAAGGATTCTGCTGTAACTTTTCTCCACCACTGAGGAGCAAAAGCAGCCACAGGCAATGTGTAAACAAATTGTCCTGTAGCTGTATGCAGTAAAACTTTATTTACAAAAGCAGGCAGCGGGCCAGAGTTGGTCCACAGGCCCTAGTCTGTCAACTCCTGATCTACGTTATTATTTTTATCCATGTGGCTGGTCAGGCAACGAGAAAGCTGTGTCGCATCTCAATACTATTGCGTTATTGTTGCTGCTGTTTATTTCTCCCTGTGTGCATGCTGCCTTCTGATTGCATTGGCCTGTGTTCTGATACTCAGCACAAGAAGATTCCTTACCACTGTAGCCTCCTTCTCTTTGTCCAGTTAAAGGTTTTCTGTGTGTGTGGGGGTGTGTGTATGCGCACATTAAATCTTATATTTAATACAGGAAGACATTTAGAAAGAAAATATAAGACAAGGAAATTAAGACCAAAGATAAGCTTAACAATGAGAGCAAACAAATCTCAGAATGTATAAACACCAAAACTTTCACAAACATGAATGGGAAAGAGTCCTAGAAATTTATAATGGATTCTCCATCTGAATTTCTTCAGCTATTTTTAATCTTGTTTGCTATAAATATGATTACCATCCTACATAATGCATTGTATCTGTCTGTATACGCGCACATGCTGTTTGAGTCTTTCATACAAGAGCACGTGGTTGTGTTAGTCCCTTCTCTCTGGTCCATGGACCCTCCCGTTTCCTGCCCTCACGAGAGCTGACCGCCAGGGTCCAGCCCCCAGACTCAAGCTGGAGCAGTTGGTTCCTGCTGCTATTGCCCCGTAACTTCATGCCAAGTTCAACACCAGAGATCCTCTCGCTCTGTCTGGGGCATGGCCAGTCCTCCTGGGGGTCAGGCTGCTGCCTCCCATCACTGTGAGCCCACTGCCTCTCTGTGACCGCTCTATTCCACGTGTGAAACCTTCGCAGCCTTGGAGAACTGAAGACTGAGGCTACAAGTGATTCATTCCCTAGGTCGCCTGCACCCCTAGTTCTTGGATCCCCAAATCTGGAGAGGCTTTCAGGGAGATTTGTGGAAGGCCATCCACCGGCCCTCTGACTGCTCTGGCCGGTGGAGGGGAGAGGGTGGTTGGCCACGTGTCTGTATGGTGGACCCTCTAAGTTGGTCCACACGCCAAGGTTCTGTTGGGCTCTTTTCCTGTAGTCCGTGGTTTTCTGTAGCCTCGCCTATTTTTATCTAATTCTACTTATTTCATCCTAATTCTGCGAAGATTGGGGGACATGCTCCCCTTCTTTGTCTCTGGGGAGCCCTGCATGCCAAGCACAACCCTAAAAACTGTTTTGAAAGAGAACTGATCCCCATAACGTATTATTTTTCCTTCCCGGAATTCATTTCTTGCATTTTTTTTAAACCTCGCATTCATTAAGAAGGATCCGAGATTCTGCTTTACTTAAATATCTAAGCCACCTGGTTTTAAATAAAGTAGAGATGTAGTCATCCCAAGCCAAATGAGCCTCTGAAATTCCTCCTGGCTCTAGTTTTGAAAGGAATTAAAATAGCATGAAGACTCCAGACATCATGAAATTCAAATAAAATTACTTCAGTGCCAGCAGTGCTCGGAGACACACACAAACAGGTGAGTCCTTACCAGCGGGATGAGCAGGCTGGCGAGGGCGGTCAGGGGCTTGCTGAGCAGCAGCAGGTCCTCCGCAGCCTGAGTGTCGCCTCCAGAGCCAGACTTCTGCGCCTTGAAGGAGGCAAGAGGAGGGGGTCTGGAGGTTAGGCAGCTTGGCCCTGGAGACAGCTGCCCCCCACCGAGCAGATGAGCACGGCTGTGGATATATTCTGCCTCGGTCCCCTGAACAGGAGGTGTGCATATGACAAAGGATGCACCACGGCCACACCACCAGCTCAGGCTGCAGAGGCAGACCGGGTGGTCCACAGAGACAGCGGTAATAAGGGCTGTCCCTGGGAAGCGATGCCCACCGGCTGCAGTGGACAACCAGCCTGAAAGGAGGGGCTCCTGGCCCCATTGTTCAGGTGGGAAGACTGAGGCTCAGAGAAGTACAGCAGGGCATGTGACTCCCACATATCGACAGTGCACACCTACTCATCCTGCTGTGCTTTCCTTCTCTGCACGCGTGTGCGCGCACACACGCACCAGCGACACCTAGAATATGTGTCCAACATAACACTGCACGCAAAGTCTTCAGAGAAGGTCTGGAAAGTATAGGCTTCCACTGAAATTAAAATTAGTCATGGGAAGAGAGTGACTTTCATTCCAAGTGGGCTTTCTTTTAGGAGTTCTGTCTACAGAACTGTCTAATTCCAGGGATTTCTAACACAGGCAGGCATAATTTAATACTAGAAAAGGCACTGATTAGTAATTTCGTTTGCTATAGAATACAAATATTTCATTCAATGCTTCCTCTGTGTTTTTGATTTCACTTGGAAGGAACAGAACTGCTTTTTGGGTGGTGACCTTTGGCAGACCAGGCTACAGGCTGCCCCTCCCGAGGGCAGGAGCCTGGACTCCAGGGCCCTTCTCACAAATACCAGGTTTCCATCTGCTCCTCAGGCCAATGGGCAGAAGGTGAGTTGCCTGCTTTCTTTGGTTCGGAAGAATTGTAAAATCAGACGCCTGCCTTTTAGCCACTTGCACCGTGAGGGGAAACAAGGTTAGAGTTCCGTTCCAGAGAACAATAAGCCGCACTGCCCCGGAGGTCTGCACCTCTCCAATCGCGGCTGTTAGTTCCGCCTGTGAAACACCATTGCAGAGAGAGCATCAGCCTCTGCCCCTTAACCAGCCCAGGGCCTGACCCTCCTGGTGGTTATACTCTCAGCAAGAGAGGATGGGACACTGAAGCTGGGTGGTAGCTAGCCGGGTTTGGAAGATGTGGTTGGATTGGTTAGGTGTTTAAGGTAAAAGTCTCCATAATTTGGTGACAGGTCAGATGTGGAACAGGAAAAAGAAGGACATGTGAAGGATGACGCCCAGGTCTGCAGCTGGCACAGCAGGACGAGGGTGGCGGTACCTGCTGGCAGGAGGTTCACGGAAGTAAGGCAGGACCAATTCTGCATCACAAGGCAGGTGGGGGTCGGGGCTGAACTCCCAAGGGAGATTCTGACACCTGCCCCCCTCCACTCCCTACTTTCCTGGGACACATTCCTGCACCATGTCCCTCTCCTCCCTGAGGAAAAAAAAGTGCTTCATAAACCTAAGCGCTACTATCATTTCACACACTGGCAGTCCTCAACCCCCCGAATCCTTCACTTCATGGACGTCCCCGTTAGACGTTTAGGAATGCGGGAGAGTCTCCGGTGTGGAGCGTGCTTATGAGCGGGAGAGGTGGCTGGTGGCTCGGAGAGCATGGTCAGCTCAGTGTTTCAGTAGACGGTGTCTTTGGTGCACACTCTTTCCAACCTTTTCCCCTCACTCAGTCTCAAGGACTCTGCCTCTCTCAGACTGACGCCAGGTGCCCTGCAGATCAAAGTGGGGAGTGAAGCCAAAAACCATCTATGGCAGCTGATATAGTGGAGGATTCAGAAAGACGACAGCAGTGAAGTATGCACTGGCATTGAAGAAAATGAAAAAATTAAAAACCGTGATCTACTGGTACACTAGCAAAGAAAGAAAGATAGAAAGTATTTCTATTAAGGAGTTTTCTTTTAAACAACGTTGACTACCTACCTAATAATCACTTATCTAATAAGAGATTTCTGGTGCTCTGGAATTTTTGAACTTCTGATTCCTTAAAAAAAAATTTTTTTAAATTATGTTTTTATTGATTTTAGAGAGGAAGGGAGAAGGAGAGAGAGAAACATCAATGATGAGGGAGAACCATTGACTGGCTGCCTCCTGCATGCTCTCCTACCTGGGGATCGAGCCCCAACCAGGGCATGTGCTCTGACTGGGAATTCAACCACCTCCTGGTTCATGAGTTGATGCTCAACCACTGAGCCACACTGGCTTAGCCTGATCCCTTTTATATTTACCACCTACAAAACATTTCTCTTTTACAGATTGATATCATCAATGTATCTGTGAACGTAACTAGCAACTACATCCTGAAGATTTACATAAAACTCCTTCAGACAATGAAATAAGAACAGCTGTTCTCTGAAGAGACACGAGAGGAAACGCTAAGAGAAACCTTAATTCGGGACTCCATAGGTACTTAACAACGCTCTCCTGTTCACCCAGAATGATTACAGACGAGCAAAGAAAAACAACTAAGTAGTTCCAAGGCCATTCTCAGCTACCGGCTTTACAAGTGTGCGTTAAACACTAACGACCATGTTTGCTGAGGAGATCTTGGAATTACTTATCCACCACGCTAGCTAAGCTAAACACTGGAGCAGCTTCGCTGGAGGTAAAAGTTACCATTTGTCACAATGATGAGTAACAGAGGCTAAACCAAGCTCGCGGGATTCATTCCTGGCTCTGCTACGCTGGCTCCTGGCGAGGTACCAACACAGTTTGGTCTCCCCGTTAGCTTCTGCATCTACTCAAGCCAACAGGCTATCGCTCAACATGCGCCTCTTGCAATTGTACCAGGATTCGAAACGTGACAGTGAATTCATATCAGCCCGGTGCTTTCATGTGACTGGAGTATCAGCTGACTCAGAGAGAGAGCAGTAAATGAAATAGGCATGTGGAGGCACCCAACATGGGAAGTACTTAACAGACACATGTCCCCTTCCTTCGTAGAGCACAGTCCAGTTTGGGGCACACTGACTGAATACACTTCCAAGTCTCAAATCCATCTGCAATTCCATGTTACTGGTCACAATGGAGAGCGAGTGCTTGTTTACATGTTGCATTATGGATGTATGTGTGTATATAAACATGTGTGTGTATGAATGGATGCATGGGCCTAAAATCTAGACCAAGTGCTCCTGGCAAGCTGACCTTTCCCAATGGGGTGGCTAGAGCCCCATCCGTGGGCAGGAGAGGCTGCACATGGCTTGGCCAGCCCCGGGTGCCCGGGGGGCTAACGGTCTCTGCCAGGAACGTTTCCCGATTAGAGCTCGCCAAGTCCCTGCTGAGGCCCCTCCTGCTTTCCTTTCCGATTTTGTAACCACATGATCTGTTCTTGGCATTGGCCACCAAAGATGGCTTATTGATAGTCTCTCTCTACAGGACGTTAAGTTCTTTCTAAAACGTAAGGACACTTTAGAGGCGGATTAGCCAGAAGAGATGACAGGGGGTGTGGTGCAGTGCAGGGCGGTGCCAGACCGAGGCTGAGGCCGTACCTGCAGGGCCAGCCGCACGACGCCGGACGTGTGGGTCAGCATGCCGTGCAGCACGTCCAGCAGGGAGCAGAGCAGTGCGGCCGCTGTCTCGTCGTTGTTTTTATTTTCCACGTCCAAGCACAGCGTGGCCGTTTCCGTGAACAGGTTACAGACATGATGCACCAGTCCTGAGGGTAAAAAGGAAAAGGGCAAAATAGTCATCATGATCATATAAAGACAGTGTGTCCCGTAAACCCAACGGAGGTCTCCACGATGCATCCATGCTAAGCAGTCCTTCAACTCCGCTGTGCACCAGGTACATGGGGGAGAGCTTTGCAAAATGCACGTTTCCAGGGCTCACCCCCGGGGAGGCTGCTCAGGGGCCCGGGATGGGGACTAGGAATACGTGTTAAGCAAAACTCCCCTTTGGAAAACACATCCTCCATGGTCAGGCTTCACTGGACCAGAGGACTCCCCGACATGGCGGGAAGCGTGCTGTGTGCGAACAAACTGTCCCAGGATCTGCTCGAAGGGCCAGCTCTTCAGCCTGAGGAACAGGAACCACCCAGGGCTCTACAGTAAGTGGGTCCTTTCCAGAGGATAAAGCATGGTTTTTCCTGCTGCATTCCAAAAAGTGTAAAATGTGAGATTCACTGCAATTTAAAGAATTGGAAATTGAGAAATGGCCAGCTTCTATCGTTTTGCCCCTGCAAATCTCACATGAAGGGCTGGTCTTCTCCAACTTTTAGTTTGACGTCATCTGTCACAGATCCATTTTCACATCTTAGGGCGTGTCATTGCTTATATTTAACTCAGACATTTCTGTTGTTACTGTTACGTAGAGTTGAACTTGGAATTCCCAAAACTGATTCAGATGTAAATGTGGTGAAAATACAACATGAACAATGTTATGAGCCTAAATGTGAACAGGACTTTAGGCACATACAGATTGTCTGAATGTTCTAGAAAAAGTGATCTTCAAACATGAACATTTTACACAAGCAGGTGGGGGAGCATGGTCAGGAAGTCTGGCGTGTGCTATACAGCTGGATGCTGCTGCACCTGCAGTCCATTCGTCCCCAGTTCTCATGAAGATCGATTAGATGCAAACTCTGCCAAGCAGAGCCATTCCAGCTCCAGTATCTCTTCCAAACAACGCGTCCTGTTGATTCCAGGAAACCAATCTGGTTTCTCCGGGTGAGTGCAAAGCAGTTCTTAGACTGCAAACGCAGCTGAGGTTGTCACTAAAGGCAGAGAAAAACCAAACTACACAGTCCACTCCTCGTGGCAAAAACTGGTGCAAGTCACAAGGCTGAAGATAAGTACGGCTGATGGAAAAGCAGAATGGATTATCACTGCCCAGTTTCTTTATCAGGCGGCAAGGTCTGACAGCTCATGCCATCAATGGCACGCGGTACAGAAAAGCAATTATTGAGACACAGGCCTTCCCCTCCGAGGGAGACCGCATCACTCACGGGCCAGGAATCAGCCCCTGGCTTTCGTGAGCTGCGGGCAGGGTAGAAGCGCTGTAGAGCATTGTATTTGGGGGAGAGATGCCTTCCTTTGGGGGACCCATGTTGTGGAGGGTCCAAGATACAGTGCCAGGGGGCGAGTGTTGGTGAAGCCTTCCTATGGGGTCAGTGGCTCTTCAGAAGGCGGAGGCAGATCCCTAGGTCCCCATGTCCCTGCTGCTTCACTCAGACTCAACAGCTGAGGAGCAACTGTGAACCTGACCTTCATTCTGTCTTCGAGGAAGGAGTGCAAGGCTGGGATGGCATTCTCTCCCGCCAGGTACAGGAAAAGACGGGCACCCAACGCCACGCCCTGGCTGGGCACCCTGACGTCACGGGCTGTCAGGGAAGGTGCTCGTGAGATTAGAGATGAAATAGGAAGTAAACTATTTCTTCCCAACAGTGGCAATGCCAGCAAAGGCAGCAGAGGCATCTGGGAGAGCGCGGTAGTGTTTCCCTGTCCTCTGCTCAAATGCCATCAAAACAACTTCTTAATACTCCATCCTAACATCTCTAAGAGAAACCGGCATTCATTAAGCCAAATAATCCAACAACTATTTGCATTAATTATAACCAACTCCCCAAAATAAATCCAAGAATTACTTTGTATTAATTATAAGCAAATCTCCAAAGGAGTCAAACCCTCCCTCCCCACAAGTTATCTTCAAGTGTTTAATGTTCTGGGGATATTAATGTGCATGAGCTATTCCTAGCTCCGGTCACTGTGTCCTTATTATATTATTACTTTTTCAAAATCTGTTGGGAAAAGCGAAATGATATGAGAGTACATTTTGAAATGCCAAGTTTTTGAAAATACTTCCTAGTTCTATCATGAATGATCTGAACACTCTAAATCCCAATGTCACCATCCCAAACAGAGGTTTCCTTCCAGGTAATCGGACATGGACATCACACAAACACGTGGTCGTGTCCACTCGGATTCATTCCCGTCAACTCCACAGACAGCGCGGAAGAGAAGCACCTGCAAAATCTGGTGTGAGAAACGGTTCTTTCCCACGTTACTGACACTTAGCCAGCAAAACCAGCACCAACCACAGCAGCTGAGTCAAAGGCCTGCTTTTTAAATAGAAATTCGTAGAGGGTGCCGGAGGCAGTGCTGGTCTGGGACACACCGACAGGGTATGTGGAGGCGTCTGTGAACTGCGGGTCCTGGGCCACAGCTGCCAAGCTCGCTCGACCTCTTCCGGCCGAAGGGTAACGAGCGGCCACCCGCACAGAACCGGCCCCTCAACAACATGTCCAGACATCTCTCGGGCTTCAAGGCGATGAACCATTTCAGGGCAGGTGTTCGCCTCTGTTAGTCCAGCTCCCCCAGAGGAGCCCTGGGAGCCTGCCCTGTGCCTGGTACCAGACCAGCACCTCCCCCGGCACTGGCACTGGCACTGGCAAGTCTGCACTCCCTCTGCCTGGGAGCTCTGGCTTCCGCTCTTCATCTAAGCCTCCCCCTCACACGGGGCCCCAAGACCGAGAGCCCCTGGAGTTCGGCTGTGCCCACAGGGAGAGCGACACTGCACAGGTTTCGCTGATGAGCATGACGAGCCAACGCACAGTTCTGTGCCCGGATGAAATGCAGGCTGGGGACTTCACCAATACGACAGAGGCGAATGTTTTAATTAAATTTTTCCTTACAAAAGCCGGAAGGGACTCTGTATTCAGAGCACTCGTTTTGAATTACGTTCCTAAGAAAATGGTGTATATGGGAGCATCTTTTTAAAAAAATATATTTTATTGATTTTTTACAGAGAGGAAGGGAGAGAGAAACATTGACCAGTGGCCTCCTGCACACCCCCCACTGGGGATGTGCCCGCAACCAACGTACATGCCCTTGACCGGAATCGAACCTGGGACCTTTCAGTCCGCAGACTGACGCTCTACCACTGAGCCAAAAACGGTTTGGGCTGGGAGATCTTAAAAACAAACTTATCCCAGCCCCCTTGAGCCCCCACTGGTCCCTGGATCCTCCTATGTTTAGCACTTAGATCCACAGAGAGAGGAGACCACTGTATTAAAATATTCCAAGCATATGATTTATTTAAAAGACTTGACTCTCACGCCAGCTGGTTTGGCTTAGTGGATAGAGGGTTGGCCTGCAGACTTAGGGGTACCGGGTTTGATTTTGGTCAAGGGCACATGCCCAGCTTATAGGCCTGGTCTCCAGTAGGGGGCATGCAGAAGGCAGCCGATCAATGACTCTCATCATTGATGTTTCTCTCTCTCTCTCTCTCTCCCTCTCCCTTTCTCTCTGAAATCAATAAAAATATACTTAAAAATAAAAATAAATAAAAGACTCTCATTTGCACGCCTTTGGGGAATGTGGTAGAATGAATAATGCTCCTTCCTCAAAGAGGTCCACATCCTAAATCCCTGGAAACTGTGAATAGTACCCTACATGGCACAAGGGACTTCGCAAATGTGACTGAGGATCTGGAGATGGGAGATTACCCAAGTGGGCCAAATGTGATCACCAGGGTCTTGTAAGAGGGAGGCAGGAGATCCGAGTAGCAGGAGACGGCAAAAACAAGAGGCTGGAATGACAAAAGGAAGGAGCCCCAGCCCAAAAGAGGCAGGCGGCTCCTGTAAGCTTTTCAGCTCGAGTTTTCAAGGCAAGGACGTGGGAGCCTCCAATAAGCACAAAGCCCTGCAACACCAGCACTGTTCTGCTGTGGTAAGCAACTAGACTTGTGGTTTTGTTGCTATGACAACAAGAAACTAACGCAAGGAGGGAACACAAGTAATTCTCTTGGCTCGGTCTGCCATCTTTACCAAGAAGTCCTCAGCCACTATTCTCGTTGATGAGGTGCCCTTCTATGTCTGCATCAGCAGGTGGACCGAGAACTCGGCAAACCCAGATAGACAGTATATTCACTACCCTGTTTTGTGGGGAAAGCATGTGAATGGACTCATTTTTGTTTAGCCCAAACTATGGAGGACACCATGTCATTCAAATTATAATAGAGAACGCTCACTGGCCTGGGAGTCACACCCTGGTCTCAGTATCAGTGTCTACTGAGGACAAGGACCCAGGTTCCATTTCCAGAGCCTCGATCCCCAGAAAATGAAGGAGCCCATGTGCTAGCTGAGGCTCCTGATAGCTCCAATATTTTATAATTATGTCCAGAATCCGGCAAATGCACGTTATTTACCTCTAACCTTATTTTCAATAAAAATGCATCATAATAAACTATGCCTATTATTTTTTAAATATATTTTATTGATTTTTTACAGAGAGGAAGGGAGAGGGATAGAGAGCTAGAAACAATGATGAGAGAGAAACATCGACCAGCTGCCTCTTGCACACCCCCTACTGGGGATGTGCCCACAACCAACGTACATGCCCTTGACCGGAATCGAACCTGGGACCTCTCAGTCCGCAGACCGACGCTCTATCCACTGAGCCAAACCAGTTTTGGCCCATGACTATTACCGTGTTTCCCCAAAAATAAGACATCCTCCGAAAATAAGATCTACTTACAGGTTTCCTTCTGAGTGAAATATAAGGCATCCCCCCGAAAATAAGCCTCCTCCCCCCCAGGCTAAACACGAGAGTTTTGGTCCACTGATTCTGAAAGAAATGGAGTCACAAGAAATTTACCAGGAAATTCAGGAATTGGATTGTTATGATGATGTTCCAGAAGATGATGACATGATTGTCCTTG